TTTGTGAATTTTCAAACTTATTTTTTTATTTTTGAAAAGGTGATTTTGAATTGCACAGTATTGAAAATACATACCTTTCGAACTATTGTTTTTTTAATATAAATTTTCATAGACTTCTCGAGCAAGGTGAGTTTGAATAAGTCAAAGACGTCATGGACATACGTCACCTACCACTTATAGTCTTGGAATATATTTTATTATTATTTTTTTACTAATTATTCATGGATTCCTTCAATACGTCAATGTTTGATCCACATTATTTTTTTCATTCTCATTCTTCTACTTATTTTTAAGAATTAGGCTACATTTACAATCTTTTTGTACAGCCAATTACACAGCCCCCTCACATGGGGGTGGGCCCCACAAAATTGTGGGCACCCCATGTGAGGGGGCTGTGTAATTGACTGTACAAAAAGACTGTACAACTAGCATTTTTTCATTTTTAACCACATATCTTTCAATAAAATAATATTTTCTATCAGATCAATAATTTTTCCTTCTTTTTCAACCACATATTTTCCTTCACATCATTTCAAAAAAATACACTCTCTCATTTTAATGTGCACCAAACGGACTAGAAAGAAAATCGAAATAGAAAAAAAAAATTTAAAATATTTGGAAACAATGAGTTCAACAAACAATGAAGCTCCAAGTACAATGAAATTTTAACAGAATCGATGTCGACACTGATGTGGCCAAACTTGATTGGCCCTTTTTTTCCATTTTTCAATGATGTTACGTTAAGTGTTGTCCGTCAAAATTTTCTATTATAAAAACCTGTATTTATAGCATCATTGTTCTAGGAATTGCCATAATGTAAGTTGTGATTTGAATGCATGGCAGAAGGGCTCCATGCGGTTAACAATTGCAATTTTCCACGCACCTTTCCTTCAACTCTTTATCTGCCGTAATTAGGGGTGGGCGTGTGTTGGGTTGGGTTGGGTTTTTGCTCAACCCCAAAACCAACCCAACATGTTCGATTTGGAAAAAAATCAATCCAACCCAATTACGTATTTAAACCC